GCTGCGGTGGGAGGATCCCTGAACCCAGGAGTTTGAGGTTACAGTGAGTTATGATCGTGCCACCGCACTCTAGTGTGGATGACAGAGGGAGCCCCTGACTCTAAAAAAAAGAAAAGAAAAGAGAAGAAAATAGACTGCATTGTGACTTGTGAGTCAGAAGATTACTGCTGGGGCTGTCAGTGCTGAAACCCAGGAGGGACCAGGATGGGCTTGAGAGTAAAGGCAGGGAACAGTCCCTAAAGGACTTTATAGGACCTGCTAAGGAATTTGGACTTTATTCTGGAAACACTGAGGGCCTGCATCCCTGCTAAAGATAGAGAAGGGGAAGGGGTTTCTAGATATGGACTTTTTGTGACTGTTTCCGAATGTCTGTGTAAAGCAAGTTTAGGGGATAAGATGGGGTTGGGAATAAGGGCTGGGAGCTCATCCTGCAACTGCTTTGGGGTTAGTGATGGGATGACCAAAACGTTTTAAAAAAAAAATAAAATGAACAAATAAATGGCACGTTATTTATTTATTTTTACAAAGCTTACAAAATGGGATGCTTAACTGTAGCCACATGTCGAATGTTTTTTAAAAGAATTTTTTTTTAAGAAAAGAATTCCAGCCATCAGTTATTTCAGGAATGTGTTGCAATATTTCTTAGTGTTTTTCTTCCATCGATTAAGCTGAGGATTTTAACCACTCCCTCCCCAACACACACTTTCTTTCGTTGATGAGTATTTTTTATGAATATGCTACCTGGATGGTTTTGGTGGGGACCAGATGGAGATTATAGTGTTGCTAAACTCTCCTCCCCAAGTCACTTCATGGTGCCTCTACTGTTAACTACAAATGTGGAAATACATTTTCTACACAACCCTCCATATCTCCTGGGCAAATACTACAATTCTAGAATATTCAGGTCCCTGACATAAAATAGCATGGGGTTTGCATATAACAAGCATATCCTCCTATATACTTTAAATCGTCTCTAAATTGCTTATAATACCTCATGCAATGTAAATACTATGCACCTCGTTGTTATACTGAATTTTTTGTATTTTTATTGTTATTTATTATTATTTTTTGAATATTTTCAATCTACGATTGGATAAATCTGAAAAAACGGGCTGACTGTACACACAAAAAGGCTTACTTTTATTTTCCTGTTCTCTGAAGAGGACAAATAATAGCCATCTAGATATGGCTGTTCCTCATTACTCTATGTAGATTCTATAATTCTATAATTCATTACTCTATGTGGATTCTCTAATTCTGTGACTTATTTAATCATAACAGAGTGATTAATTGTGTTTGCCTGTAGTTCCAAACCATTTCTTTGTTATTTCTCAAAGACGGTGTTTGAATGTATAAAACTCACTTCAATTACTAACATTGTTGTCTCTCTTTTGCTACCACTAACTCTTGTATTCTTTTTTGTTTTTAAGATGTGGGTAGAATTCAGGGTTAGGTATTAACAAACACTGATTATGCAGGTACTCTTGTTGATGAGGTATGCCCCTCCCTCCCCTGGCAATTTCCCATTACTGCCAATCCTCTTCTTATAGTATTATGATAATTGTTTAAAGTCCACTTATGTAACTCTTGTATTCTTACCTAGCTTTTTCTTTCTCTGCTTTATAGCTTTGAGACACTGGGAAAACAAATTTTAGAAACCAAAGACCCATTTAAAGGTGCAGAGAATTGGGAGGTCAGCTAGTCATGGGATTTCCATTCTGAAAAGATCAAGCCTCAAATTTTGGGATCATCAGTTAGTCAAGTGGCATGACTCTTGACCTGCGTGGGCATGACCAATATAGATATAGAATTTCAGATCTACCAAGAGATCTGAAACAAGGGGGCATAATTATTAACCAGGTTCTTATCTTAATATGAATAGTCAGATGATCTAAACATCAGAGAGGAATGCAGGAATAACATGAAAAAAATTAAGAACAGGAGGTATCATTATTGTAAAAGCAACTTTTATAAGTTGTCTGATAGAAGAAAAGGTTATTTTCATATGGAGAGGAGAACGGGGCAGCAGGAAAAAAATCACAGGCCCATTTTTGGTGAATTTAAGTACAAGAACTTGGTTTTCACAATGCAGACATGGCATTATGAATTGCATTGAATTGAATTGATTATGAATTGTAAATGATTGTGGAAAACCTAACTGAAAATTCTCAAGTACTATTCCCTAGATGTTCCTTATAATTTATCATCTAGAGACACTACTTACTACTCGGAGATAATATCTGTAACATGCCAATTTTTTAGTCATCAAGAAAGGCTTCTCAATTACTCAGAAAAGGGTGTTGCCTCTAAGAATAAAGGAATACAAAGAAGAAAGGTATTGCTTCTGAATCTGGGGAGGTGATTGCCAAACAATAAGGAAAGACTCCAACTCACATATTTTCTTCTGAGAAAATCATGTGTATGTGTCTTGTATTTTTTTGTAGACATTTGCCATTAAAGTTATCACCAGAGATTAGAGGTAAAATCTTCTAGAAGAAATGTCAGCAGCATGGGCCATGGGGCATGTGTACATTCCAATGTCCTTGAAGGAAATTCTCTTGTTTTAGGGGTAAGTCAAGTTTCACTTTGACCAACTACCTTCAGGATCATGAACTATTTCAGTTTTTTAAGAGATATTTTGATTCTAGAGAGGGGCAGATTTGATTAAACCAAAAAAGTAAAGTTTCTTTCTTTAGAATGTTGATTGTCTTCTACAAATTCTGATGGACAGATCTCATGTTCCTTCATAAACAAATACATGTATAAGTGTACTCACTAAACCAGCACGCACAAGGTAATAGAGAAATCCAAATAAGGAATAAAAGAAAAACAGAGAGTATGTGTATCTGGTGTTTTTTAACTTTGACAGAGAGCTATCACTGATCTCTTTTAAATACTATATTGATGTCTACATAATAGAATGATTATAAACTTGTCTCTTCTATTAAGTTATAAATATAAGAGGTTAATTTTATCTCACTGCATAATAAACTCCAAGGAATTATGAGGATCGTGCTTTTTCATATCTGAAGGGGAGATAACTTTTCCACTGATACGAACTTTTTCTCTTGTAGATGTTGTATAGCTCATTTGTCTAGGTCTCTGCCTGACTGTTCAGCAGAAGTTCTTAACTGCTTTGGGGACACAGACCACTTTGGCATAGAAAGAAAACTCCAATCTTCTCCTCAGAATTATGTACATAGTCCTTTGTATTCCTTTTTTTTTTTTTTTGGAGGTAGGGCAGAGGGAGCAGTCTGACCTCCTAGAACCCATTTATTGTTCCAGTAGATAACCATTTTTAATGAAAGACTTAAATTAAAAAACAGCAATAATTACATTAAGTGTAAGTGAATCAATGTTTCAACTAAAAAGCAGATTCAATAGGAGGAATAAATTCTAGCTTTACAGGGAGACTATAATTAACAATAATTTATTGCATATTTTCAAATAGCTAGAAGAGCAAATTTTGAATTTTCCCAACACAAAGAAATGATAAATGATTGAAGTGGTAAATATAACAAGTATCCTATTTGATTAGTTCACATGGTATGCATGTATCAAAATATCACAATGTACCCCATATATTATGACAATGATTATGTGTCAGTTAAAAATAATAATAAATGCAAATAAAAATATTACAGTGAAAAAAAAGAAGAGAAAACAACCATTTTAAAATAAGAAATTCCATCTTGCCCTTCTGTACACACTGGCAGTTCTTTATAAGTTTTGGCTAATTGAATATTTAATAGTTTTATATAGAACAACAGCCAATCTTATGAAAGAGACTGTTTTTTCAAGCCCACTCCTTTCAATAGTTGGGAAAGTCACATGGAATTACCATTTTTGATACCAATATCCTTATAGAAGAAGTATTTACTGGGTAGCCTGCTTCATGCTGAGCACCGTGTTAGAAGTTGGTGAATACAACAATGAGAAAAACAAAGTCTAGGCCTTGGAGGATTTTACAGTCCAGTGGGGGATATTTTTCCAAATCCAAAGAACCCCTGGAAATATATTCTTGAAAATTGAATGCAAGAGGAAACCTTAAATCCTAAAACTATAAAAATGTATAAAACTGTTAAAAATAAAGGCACCTTCCTTTAAGAAAAAAAAACTTCTCTAAAATATATATTTTAAGTCACCCAACTGCATTTATATATTTCATAGATTGCTTGCTTTGTGAGAAACTGGAACTCTTCAAACATTAAATAGCTTCCCATTAAATTTATATGAAAATAAAAAATAATGTATCCTCTGTCACTTTTAATGAGTGATTAAAAATGTGATCCAGTATATAAAATATCAATTCACATATAACTTTAGAAATAAATTTACTGGGATTATAAGTATCTTCTTACAAATTAAAGATGAATAATGATTCCCCCATATTCTAACTCATCCCCTAGCCAACGAGAAGACCTAACTAATACAAGCAACTACATTTTGGATATTCTTTATATCACTGTGTTGGATTGTACCTCACTCCAGTATACTTATGAAAAAATCCATGCCAGATATTCCTTGAAGGAAATTACAGACCTTCATAAGTTTCAAAAAGTGATTCACCCTTGATAAACTACTAATATGAGATAAAATCTTTATATGGCTTCTTGAATCCAAGTAGATTAGTAACTACATTTCCTTTGATATACCCACAGTATTCTTCTCTTATAACATTACTTGATAGGAAGGGAGGATAGCCAGTGGTAGAATCAAATTGTTAACTTTCTTATAGGAAAACTGGCCACAACTACAATTATGGAACAGTCTGTTGCTCTAAGGATGACTGATTTCAGTTTGGTAGATCCCAGTTCCTACTGGTTTGGTCCTTCTTTCTGGGCTAACCAATCCTGGAAATACATTGTTAAGTCCATTTCTATTTCACTTTCATTTATGTAAAAGTGTTAAATTTTCTTTATAGTAAACACTTCCTGTAATTATGTTTTCAGTTACTTTATCTCAGTACTAATAGTGTTCTCTTTTCATAGGTTGTCCAGATTATGATTGGTATCTTTAGTGTTTTCATGTGGTATTTACTACTGAACCTGTATACAGGACAAATTAAAGGAGTCTTTGGAACATACGAACCTTTAACTTACAAAACAGGATGTACATTATGGGGAATTGTTGTGAGTAGAATACAAATATATTAGTCATGCCAAATGTAGAAGGTAAGGAACAGTTTCTAAAGGTTTTTGGGAGAATGATGTAGCCAAATCCCATCCTGGTAATTTATTTATTTATTTATATTTTTTTTTTTTTATTTTTGAGTTGGAGTCTCACTCTGTCGCCCAGACTGGAGTGCAGTTGCCGCTCCCAGCCACCGCAGCCTCGACCTGCTTGGCTCCAGCGATCCTTCCGCCTCAGCCTTCCAAGTAGCTGGAACTACAGGCGCGCGCTACCACACCCGGCTAATTTTTTGATTTATTGTAGAGATGAAGTCTCACCAAGTTGCCAGGCGGGTCTCGAACCCGCAGGCTCAGGCAATCCACTCACCTCAGCCTCCCAAGGCGCGGGATTACAGGCTGAGCCACTGAGCCCGGCTATGGTAATTTATTTGAAGTCAAATTCCTTCTTTCAACAAATGTGTATCGAGCGCCTTTAATTTACAAGTGCTACTTCAAGAGCTATGGAGTGAGTACACGATGACAGCCATAGGGTAGATTGTCCCTTTTTGTGTGAAAGGCAAAGGATGTTAACTCTAATATCCATTAGCACGACTAACTTTCATGTTCGGTCTTCACTTTAGCCTCCTCATCCAATGAGTCAATTCTCACTTCCTCAGTTTACCATTACTGACACTCTTCCATGGTTTCCAGACAGCCATTAGGTAGAGCGAAAGCCTGGAGAGTGTGGCCCCCCTGGAAGCCAAGTGAAGAAATGGTTGCAGGGAATGGGGAAAGATCAACTATATATTTTGTTGTTCTGTAAAATCAGAGGAGGGTAAAGAATGGGTGGCTGGATTTAGCAATATGGAAGCCAGTATTTTCAGTGGAATGATGAGGCAAAAGCCTGATTGGAGCTGGTTTAAGAAATCATCGGAAGAGAGAAATTAGAGGTAGCAAATACAGACAACGCCTTTAAGGATTTTGCAGTAATGAGGTATAGAGAAATGGGATGACTGCTAGGGAAATTTGGGTTAAAAAAGGGTGTGCTTCTTGGTTTCTGTGCATCAAAAGAAATAGTACCATATCTTTTGTTCCGAGGGCTAAGCCAGAAGAAAAAAAATTGATGATATGAGTAAATGGAGGTGGGTTTTGGAATCAGGTATTTATGTAGGCAAGAGATGATGAAGTTTAGTGCACAAAAGCTAGAAGCATGGACAGTTCATCCCTGGCAGTGCTTCTCACCTAGAGGTGATTTTGCCCCTTAGAGGACATGTCACTATTTCTGTGGCTATTCTGAGTTTTCTCAGCTGTGGGTGTACATCTTATAGGCAGAGGACATTGGTGCTGCAAAATCGCCTATAATCCCCAGGACAACTTCTCACAACAAAGAATTATCCAGCCTTACTATGAATAGTGTCAAGAGTCAGAAAAAGGACAGGTTTTGGCAGGATGTTGATAGCTTATGGAATTTTTTCTTCCAATAGCTTCAGATATCTCCATGAATTTGGAAACCAAATCATGAGCTGAGAATGAGGATGGGCAAGTGGATTGGTTTTTTGAGGAGAGAGGAGAGGATGTGAAGTAGTCACCTAGGAAAAGTGAGAGAGTGCATGGATTATGGAAAAGTCATTTGATTTTCATGCAGCATGAAGGTCACACTTGAGGTTTAGGAACATGATTGTATACTGAAATGGGTTGTGCGTCTCAGGCCGTGTTCAGCTGCATGGGTGCAGGCATGCAGGAGGAAGAGAACATTCCATGAGGATTTTGGTTTAGTCATGCAACTACAGTGAAACAAAAAAGGTACAAAGGAGTTGAGAATGGATATAAGGGAGCAATTATAATGGTTAACCATAGAATTAGGTTTGTGAGAGAGGCCAGGGAGGTGAGGGTCTCGAATTACAGATCCAGATGGGGTGAAAGCATGGTTAGAATTTTAATACTAGAACCATGAACTAGAAAGATACCAGGTGGTGGTCAGAATGGTATACTCAAAATTGAGATTTGAAAGGTATGACAAAGGCAAAAGAGTGAATATGAAAGTGAGTGCCACAGATAGTTTGGAGTGAGGGATTGGAGGAGAGAAATTCAAGAACCACAAGCCTAAGATATTTGAAGGATTGTTGGGAGCCAGCCTTGGAGGCCCACCTGATTGACAGGGTCCTTGTGGGCTGAAGACCCCGGGCCGCAGGGCAAGCCCGGGAAGCTGAGGCCCTTCTGTCTTCCACTTTTGCTGTTTGGTACTGCTGAAGAATTCTGTGCAGTCATGGAAGAAGAAAATGACATGTTTATGTGAAGAAAATGACATGTTTATGTGAAGTACTCACAGCTAACCTGGAAATGCCATGGTTTATTTTTCCATTTCCCACTATGCCATTTGGCCTTTTCTAACATATGCAAGGGTTGAATCTGAAACACATCAAAAATGCTTTCTTTCACTTGGTTATAAGTTACTAGGCATTGCTTGAGTAAAAAATGATATAAATATATTCACTCATTTGATTTAAAATTATGTAGTTTAGTGTTTAGACATAAGGTTTTTTAGAAGTACAAATTTATAGTAAGTTCATTATGAATTCATTATAAGTTCTAACACTTATCTAGGAGTTATATAGGTGATTTATAACACTGTTTTCACTGACTTAGTATAAAGATTAATCGTTAAGGTTTTTACTTAATTCAATAGTTAAATCTCTAAGTTAACATTTATAGAGTAGGTTTTCACTAAACTCATAATATACTAATCAGACACTTTTATGATAGATTAGCTAAAAACAAAAAACAGCCTTGGGGGCCTGGAAAACATTACTAAAAGCTTCTTTTGAGTTTTCTTTAAAAATAAGCACTGCAAGATAAGAGAAAAGTAACAAAGACATCTGGACAAGAGAAACGATTACAAGGCTCTGAAGGTCATAAAAGCCCCAGATGAAAAAACTCCTGACACATAAAAAAATGTACACTTAAAAACTTTCTTGAAACATTTCAAGGACTGTAATTTGGGACTTTGGACTAAAAATATCATTGTTGGCTTTACACATAAGACTCGTTGTCTAAATGTTTATAGAGATCTTGGTTTGTTTATTGCTAAGACCACTAAATGGTGATAACTTTTAGAGGATATGTACGTAAAGAAATTTTCTTTGTCTTGCCCCTTTACAAATGGTATAAAAGCCTTCCCTTAGCTAACATTAAACGTCATCTGTTCAGAAAACAGGTGTCTGAGTATAATATTTTCATCTTACGCCTATCCGTCTCTCCTTCAAAAAAGCCCACGACCATTGTGAGGCTGGACCCCCGCAAAGGATCATATGTCTCTGTATATATTTAACTCCCTGAAGATTAAGTGGTGTTGGAGAGACAGAGAGACAAGCGTTAAAAGCATCTGGAAAGAGGAATGACTAAGGGGTCAACAGATGACTTCAACAAAGAGGGACGGTGGATGTTAGAATCTGATGACATCTGATTCAAAGGCGAAGGAGAAAGAATGGTTGGAAGTAGAAATAAGGAGCAAGGAAATCACTTACCCCATGCTTAGAACATATGGAAGACACTCTTTTTTTTTTTTTTTTTTAATTTGTTTTTATTTATTTATTTTTTTTTTTTTCATTAATCAGTATTTTTTATTATGGTTTTGTGGGGTACAGTTAAGGGTAGGTGTACAATGACGTTTCATTCAGGCACCCTGTAAATAAGAAGTGTTTTCCCATCCCCCGACAGATATTTGCTACTGTTAATCCCATCCCCCTCCCCCCCATAGTTTCCCAGTACCATCCGTCATTTTCTCATAGTATTGCCTTGGATGTTCAAGGTCCATTATATGAGTGAGAACATGTGGTATTCGGATTTTTGTTTTTGTGAGAGGTCACTCAGTATTATAGACTCTAGTTCCATCCAGGTTGCAGCGAAATTCATGATTTTGTTCTTTTTTATGGCTGCGTAGTATTCCATCGTGTATATGTACCACATTTTTTTAATCCAGTCTTCTTCTGATGG